CCCCCCACCCCCCGTTTCCCGGGACCAGCTCGGGCCTCAAATGGTAGACCATGGTACATTGTTCTTCAAGTCAACAAAATTTAACGTTGAATTGAAAAGATACAATTTTCGATGCTTGAAAAATACTTTCAGGGAAAATTCAGCAGAAATCTGCGCCTTCAAAAGAAATCCGGAGGAAAGAGAAAAACACTTGACTTACCTTCGTGGTTGTTGGGTTGGTAGCCATATTGGAATTGCGATAGTTGAGCTAGCCTGGGACGGGTACATCGCCCTGGTGACGAGGCTGCATACAAAGCCCGGGAAAAAAGAACATGGCGGCGGAAACGATGAAGGAAGACGCAAAGGTCCAACCCTTGGTAATATTTTACGATAGTGAAGCCGCTAACGGGAATGTTTACCGTGGAGACATCATCGAAATTGCTGCCAAGTGCCACCCTGATGTAGTGAAAGGCTCTTTTCAGTCACTGATAAACACGAAACAGCCGCTTTGTGCTTTCGGTAAGTTTTTTGTTGCGTCAGAGTTTGAGCGCAAAAATCTACACCGTCAGCAAATTTGTGACCTTTATGACATCTCTGGTATTTTTCAAGAAAGGAAGTGTCGTTTTACTTGAGTTCGAACTTGGTTTTCTCAGTGTTGTATAAAACTAGAGAAAACTAGCTATAATTAAGAGAAAATTTGTTTATCGTTTTTTACGAGGCGTCGCACGCAACGAACATGTCTAGTTATGCAAGATGTCACGAACGCTGAAAGCTTTCGCTTTGCTCTGTTGTGTCCTAAAATATGGATTTTAATGAATTCTGTGTAGTATCAGCGAGCAATAAGCCTGCTAAGGATCCCAAAGCAATGATTTTTCGTAAATTCATTTTTGGAGATTGTCCAAACTAGAACCTGCGTTTGCATGTCGGTATTTCCGGCATGTGCATTTGGTCACAAGCTTCGTTATGTATTCATGAGTAAAGCGTCCTTTTCTGTTTGTGAGAATTGAAGAAATAATGCATTTATGGGTTGCATTGTCTAAGCTTCTCTCCTTAAAATTGCTTAACGAAATTGTATAACTTTTAGAAGATGACAAAATTGTGTGAGGAAGGAACAGTACGTGTATTCAAGAGACAGAGAGCGAGCGTACATTGATGAACAAGGATTATTTGTGATTTATTCAATTTAACTCACCCAAGCGTTCTGTTATTTTCATTTAACTTGGGATAAATGCCATCGGTAATGAAAATTCAATCAGTTTAACGTGAAAATGGAGAAAATTGTTATTTTCTAGTTAAAAATTTTGTATAGTCTTTGGCAATTTCTGCTGAAACTATGCCAAGAATATTCACATATTATATGCTGTTTATTCCCCAGACAGTAGAAGAGCTGGCAAACTCTCAATTTAAAAAGAAATTACAAGTGATATTTGTCGGCAGCATTGCCTCAAAACATCATTTATAGAAAATTCAAAATTCAATAGTCACCATAAATCTAAATGTTGACAGCATTTTTGTGACCTGCAAAAAAATTGAATACATCCAAACTGAAAGAATGTGAATAATGACATATTACCTTACTTCTTATAGCTTCCCTGGTATATTGAAGAGGGTTTAAATAATTTTAATTCATATTGCAGTATTAACTTGTTTACAAAATTAATGGAAAGATGCCAATACTTAAGTTCTTAATTTGGCTCTTGGCTTTCATTGGATATAATTAGCTCCAGGGTATTCAGGTGATATATCAAACACTNCAGAGAGCGACTATAAACACAATGGCGTACATTGATGAACAAGGATTATTTGTGATTTATTCAATTTCACTCACCCAAGCGTTCTGTTATTTTCATTTAACTTGGGATAAATGCCATCGGCAATTAAAATTCAATCAGTTTAACGTGAAAATGGAGAAAATTGTTATTTTCTAGTTAAAAATTTTGTGTAGTCTATGGCAATTTCTGCTGAAACTATGCAAAGAATATTCACATATTATACGCTGTTTATTCCCAGACAGTAGAATAGCTGGCAAACTCTCAATTTAAAAAATTATAAGTGATAGTTGGCGGCAGCATTGCCTCAAAATATCATTTATAGAACATTTAAAATTCAGTAGTCACTGTAACTCTGAATGTTGACAACATTTTTGTGACCTGCAAAAAAATTGAATGCCTCCAAACTGAAAGAATGTGAATAATACCATATTACCTTACTTCTTATAGCTTCCCTGTTATATTGGAGAGGGTTTAAATAATTTTAATTGATGTTGCAGTATTGACTTGTTTACAAAATTAATGGAAAGATGCCAATACTTAAGTTCTTAGTTTGCCTCTTGGCTTTCATTGGATATAATTAGCTCCAGGGTATTCAGGTGATATATCAAACACTAAAGACAGTGTTTGACCACATTTCCAAACTCCGAGAAGAGAGTTGAAAGTACAACACATAGTGGAGTATTTTGACGAAATTCGAGGTGTTTAGAGATGTGGTCAAACACTGTCTTTCATGTTTGAGATATCTTCTCAATTGAAACTAAAACTATGGAGAAAACAGAGAACTAAAATTGTAAAAAATCTATGCTAATTTAGATCAGATATCCAAACACCATCACAGTCATGATTTCCTTTGTTTAAACTTAATGAATTATTAATGAGTTTTAGAATTCCATGTCAAAGTAAGTGGTCCATACAGCTCAAGCTTATCTTGGTTTCCCTATAATAATAATTAGCATTAAGTATTAAAGCATTAAGTATTAAACCATTAAGTAACTAGGAGTATTTCAGGGGTTTCAATAACAATAACATCCAGGTAGAAAATCCACACAGCCCAAAGAGCCTTGCCAATTGGCACGGCTCAATTGCCTACAAGAGATCATTGCAGATAACTCAATCATGATTCAGATTTATCATTACTGGTGGATTTGTTCATGATTTTGACATATTTAAATGGGCTCTCATGCAGATCATTAATTTGTTTTCATAATGCTGTTGCGTAAAATTTTGCTCCACAATTATTTGAAGATACAAGGGAAGTAATACATACTATAACCAGCAAAAATCATGGCTTCTTTGACTTAAAATAAGCTTAACTATTTAGAAGACTGCTGGACAGCCTTCTGAAAAAGACAGGAACATTGCTATGTAAAATACCAAAATAATATTAATATCCATACTGTTCACATCCACTCACTTTGCCTAGTGTCCTGGCATTCTTACATCTCCCTCTGGACTTGATGCTTGTCCATTGCATTGTTACCTCAGGGTTCGGAAAAAGTGGTTGTGCCATGTATTCCATACTTTTTTCACTGATTATGAGCTACTTCTATATAATAAAAGCTCACTGAATGTACTTGCTTGATATTAAGCATTTTTCTGTCCAAAATCGTTTCTTGTCCAAGCAAAAATAGATTTGACAGGACAACTTGACTGGGACCAGTCGGAAAATTATTTCACGCCCTGTATACATCATCATTGTTATCATCATCGTCGTCGTCGCCGTCATTGTCTTCATCATCATCATCATCATCATCATCGTCATTTATTTGCCACGTAAATAATGAAAGATAGTAACTATACTGTAAAAGCGGCAAGGAGACCTCTGAAAGAGAACACTGTCTGTAAATTTATTATAATTATCATTCAGTATGCCTTTTACTCATCCAAAGATTTACTCATTCAAAGATTTACTCATAGCTGAGATATTCTGTTGCCTCTCTCTGCCTCAAATTGACCTGAAACGTTTACTCTTTTGAAAACACAGTTCAGTACTATCCTGGTAGATCACCTCTAAGACAGACTTTGCACTTAATATGTTTACATGTGAGTTATTTTCATGCAACTTTCAGCAACCAGAGAATGTGCAATTTCAGAGGAAGACCTCAGAAACAAGCCTTACTTCAAAGAGGTGGTGATGAAGTTTGTCTCTTGGATAGATGGCATGGTTAAGCTAGCAAAGAAAAAGCATGGGAAGTCATTTTTCCCAGGTAAGTTCAAATACCAACTTAGTTGGTATTTTAGAAAAGTGCTTACGCCAACAGAAACTTGTCATTTATATCATAATGGAGCAGTATTCAATTGAGTGTCGTAAAACTAAAACCAAACCAATTACCTACCAATTAGACTACTCCTGCAATCATAAACAGTATTTAAACCAAAACTAAAACCAAATTAACTGCCTGGAGTGATTACTTTCGACACTCAACCAAAAACTGCTCTAAGACAACAGTAGCAGGTAAAAATGAATTAATGAAAGTTACATGAGCTTTGTTCCATCAGTTGACGTAAGTTCAGCTGTGTAGTTATATGTAATATTTCAATGCACTGTACGAACTATACTTTTTTTGGAACAGTGGTGTAGTTGTAGTATATTTATTTTGTTTAAATGAAAATACAAAGTGGCACATGAAAGTTGAAATTTAAAACATGTTTAGTGTACATAGTATTTTTGGATTTTGTTTTTGTCCTAAAGATCTCTACCTTACAGAAAATCTTTGAGAGTAATATTGCATATACAGCTTTATTATTGGGATCTCATCTTTGCTTTGATTTTTTAACAACAAAAAATAAGATTTCCAAACTATGATATACATTTGGCTGTAATAATAACCATTATTTTCTATTTGTTTTGTTTTTTGTTTTTTTTCAGTGTTGTGTGCACACTATGGCTATCAATTTGACTTCTTGATTTTACTGAGCAGCATGGAGAGATCTGGACTCCATCACTCTATTCTGACGCAACACAATGTTCATTTCGCAGATAGCTTGTTGTTCTGTAGAGAGGTTGGTAATTTTTATTTTTAACACCATTACAAACAAGCTCCAATGTAATTCAGGGATGTGCCCTAGAAGTGCCTGGGTGCCACAGGCAACTAACTTTTGCCTTTGGGTATCTGGAGAATCGTACTTTTTTCATATAAGCTTACGTGCTGGGCATCTAGGATTACGTGGATAGGAACCTTTTGGGCTCCTCATAATTTTCCTTTGACCACAGCCTTGCAATTAGTTTTATCATTAAATTCATTGAAAACTTCTCAATACTTATAATTTGGTATTGGAAAAACAGTAATGGTGAATTGTATGTAAGGCTTGGTAGAGAGATGTTAGTCAACGACTGATTAGCTTAGTCAACAATTCAGTAGCTTGTGTTAATGACAAGCAGCATTGGCACAAATTTGTGTTGTTAACATTATTAATAACATAATTTTCATTCAACTTTCTTTTAGTTGAAAGACAATGGGGAAAAGCTGTTGGACAATACAAGACTTTCACTTGACGCACTATTTAAGAAATTCTTTCCAAAGAAAATTTTGGCAGGTAAATACTTGAAGTGCTATTAAAAATGGGAGAAACCAGACTGAACTATGTACTTTGCCACCAGCCAATATAATATGAAGTAAGAATATTTAGTTTCAACCTTGTCTCTTTTAGACAGGCACAGAGCCATGGGTGATGTGGATGGAATGGTAAAGATCTTTACTCAGACACCACTAAGAAAACTGCTACATCGTATGAAGTATTCATCTACCAAAGAAAGGTTTGCTTCCTTGAATTGCTTCCAAAATTTATATCTACATTGGATGAAGATTTTAAGGGAAGTGCAAGATGTTTTCCTTATAAATAACTTGGGGCTGAGTCTCTTTGAGGGTGTAAAGGTCAATTGCTGTCCTCCATAACTAACCTACCCACCCATAGAATTTTGTTTTTGTATGTTTACTCATAAGTTAAGAATTGTTTTTATTGGAAAAAAAAAACTACTTTCCTTTCCCTTTTCCTCTCCCTTTCCTCTCCTCTTTTTTTTTAAACTGGATCCATTTAAGGAACCTTCCACCAGTGTTAGTGAGTGTGTTGCATGCTTTAGTTTGGCATGGCTCGGAGTTGTGTGTAAGAAGTTCATTTTAACTCTGTTTTCTTATTGTTGTAGATTGGAGTACTACATTTCTCAGAATGGATCTAAACAGCAACAAGCTATTTTGGAAGGTGTGTGCTCTGCATTTTCTAAGAATTTTGTTTACCAAGTAATTACTCCCAAGTAAGATCAAGTGCTACTATTGATCCCAGACGTTGAAGTAGCATCTTTTTTCAGGCCGTTTCTCACACCATTGGTTTCAGTCAAAGATTCAAAAAAAGTGATCGCTTGATGACACACATCTCCTGGCTACAGTTTGCAGCACAGCTGTTGCAAATTCCTCAAAAGCAGCAAGTTCAAGGCAAATCGGGTCCATGGGATGGAATTTGCATCCTTCAAACTCTTCTCTGTAACATATCTTGAATTGTATCTGGCTAGAAAGGAAAGGGGGAGACCTAAGACCACTTGGAGAAAGACTGCAGAGAAAGAAAGGAACAAGGCTGGGTGGAAGAGCTGGAGCGCAACCAAGGCAGCTGCGCAAAACAGACAGTGTTGGGCTCAGAGCATGACAGCCTTATGCACCTACTGGCACGATGAGAAGATATGATGATTTGGCTGGAAAGTGCAAAATTCAACAAACTTGCAAACAAACTGTGACAACAGCAGGAAAGACTCAATCACACAATTGTGAAATTCCCCATCACATGATCACTTTTTTCGAATCTCTAAATGAAACTAACGGTGTGTACAATGGACTGAAAATAAAGCCATTTCAACAGAGGTCTGGGATCAGTAGTATCAAGGTTTTCCAACAGACCTCCATGTAGTGTAGGGTAGTTAAGCCTGAACGAAATTTAGCATTTTACAAGTGAATTGAGACTACCACAATTTCATTCAAAAGATTTTCAAATTCCTGTCATGTAAGAGTAAATTAATTTTCTGTTCCATTTGTAGAGAAATTTCACAAATTGGATGCTTGCAGTAAGAATATGTCCATCAAGAAACTGCTGAAGGAAGGTGTGACTTATAACACTCTAAGGAAGATCTTTGAAGAGTGCTGCTCATTCTTAGATTTCTATGAAACTATGAAAACCTATGGCATTGAAAGGAAAGTGTCAAAGGTCATGGCATTGCATTTCAGTGGACAAGGTTTTGAAAATCAAGGTGCTAGAGAGCTGTCAAGACTTTATGAAGAAAAGCCAACAACACAAGTGTCATCGGAAAATCAAGAGAATGGCAAGGTTTTGCAGCCTGATAATCCTGCACACAAACCGCAACCAATGATGTCTGCCGCAAATAACCTACCAGTTGCTAAGTCATCTAACCAGGCTGAGGCTGGCGAGGATTGGGAGAATGAGGTAGCAACAGCTGCACCTCGGACAGACTTCACCCTGAAGTGCACAACTCCCACACCCCTCAGCATGGATGTTGAAGACATTTCGTCTACACAGTGGCTTAAGACAACGCGCAGCGAGAGTCCAAAAGGGAAACCCCAAGCTGCAATTGCCCATTCCCATTCTCAGAAGCATGACGGTAGAAATGGTGAAGTCACCAGTAAGAGACTTCAGGGAAAAGCCAGGAAAGCTGTCGTCAGAGACCGATCTTCAAATTCAACGTCGAGTGCACCAAAGCAGTTTAGCGAAAAGAGTGGCAAACTTAAGAGACCATTCAAAGAAAGTAAACAAGAGGGAAGGATGAAAAAGGAGCCCATATCTTCAAAAAGAGGGAGCAAAAATGAATCTAGTAAGAAGAAAACACCTAAATCAAAAGACACCTCTGAGGGACATTCAGATGAGAAGACTACTGAAACATCAGTTGGCAGTGTCTCTTCAGAAGGAATTAAACNTCAAACACTGTCTTTCATGTTTGAGATATCTTCTCAATCGAAACTAAAACTATGGAGAAAATGGAGAACTAAAATTGTAAAAAATCGATGCTAATTTAGATCAGATATCCAAACACCATCACAGTCATGATTTCCTTTGTTTAAACTTAATGAATTATTAATGAGTTTTAGAATTCCATGTCAAAGTAAGTGGTCCATACAGCTCAAGCTTATCTTGGTTTCCCTATAATAATAATTAGCATTAAGTATTAAAGCATTAAGTATTAAACCATTAAGTAACTAGGAGTATTTCAGGGGTTTCAATAACAATAACATCCAGGTAGAAAATCCACACAGCCCAAAGAGCCTTGCCAATTGGCACGGCTCAATTGCCTACAAGAGATCATTGCAGATAACTCAATCATGATTCAGATTTATCATTACTGGTGGATTTGTTCATGATTTTGACATATTTAAATGGGCTCTCATGCAGATCATTAATTTGTTTTCATAATGCTGTTGCGTAAAATTTTGCTCCACAATTATTTGAAGATACAAGGGAAGTAATACATACTATAACCAGCAAAAATCATGGCTTCTTTGACTTAAAATAAGCTTAACTATTTAGAAGACTGCTGGACAGCCTTCTGAAAAAGACAGGAACATTGCTATGTAAAATACCAAAATAATATTAATATCCATACTGTTCACATCCACTCACTTTGCCTAGTGTCCTGGCATTCTTACATCTCCCTCTGGACTTGATGCTTGTCCATTGCATTGTTACCTCAGGGTTCGGAAAAAGTGGTTGTGCCATGTATTCCATACTTTTTTCACTGATTATGAGCTACTTCTATATAATAAAAGCTCACTGAATGTACTTGCTTGATATTAAGCATTTTTCTGTCCAAAATCGTTTCTTGTCCAAGCAAAAATAGATTTGACAGGACAACTTGACTGGGACCAGTCGGAAAATTATTTCACGCCCTGTATACATCATCATTGTTATCATCATCGTCGTCGTCGCCGTCATTGTCTTCATCATCATCATCATCATCATCATCGTCATTTATTTGCCACGTAAATAATGAAAGATAGTAACTATACTGTAAAAGCGGCAAGGAGACCTCTGAAAGAGAACACTGTCTGTAAATTTATTATAATTATCATTCAGTATGCCTTTTACTCATCCAAAGATTTACTCATTCAAAGATTTACTCATAGCTGAGATATTCTGTTGCCTCTCTCTGCCTCAAATTGACCTGAAACGTTTACTCTTTTGAAAACACAGTTCAGTACTATCCTGGTAGATCACCTCTAAGACAGACTTTGCACTTAATATGTTTACATGTGAGTTATTTTCATGCAACTTTCAGCAACCAGAGAATGTGCAATTTCAGAGGAAGACCTCAGAAACAAGCCTTACTTCAAAGAGGTGGTGATGAAGTTTGTCTCTTGGATAGATGGCATGGTTAAGCTAGCAAAGAAAAAGCATGGGAAGTCATTTTTCCCAGGTAAGTTCAAATACCAACTTAGTTGGTATTTTAGAAAAGTGCTTACGCCAACAGAAACGTGTCATTTATATCATAATGGAGCAGTATTCAATTGAGTGTCGTAAAACTAAAACCAAACCAATTACCTACCAATTAGACTACTCCTGCAATCATAAACAGTATTTAAACCAAAACTAAAACCAAATTAACTGCCTGGAGTGATTACTTTCGACACTCAACCAAAAACTGCTCTAAGACAACAGTAGCAGGTAAAAATGAATTAATGAAAGTTACATGAGCTTTGTTCCATCAGTTGACGTAAGTTCAGCTGTGTAGTTATATGTAATATTTCAATGCACTGTACGAACTATACTTTTTTTGGAACAGTGGTGTAGTTGTAGTATATTTATTTTGTTTAAATGAAAATACAAAGTGGCACATGAAAGTTGAAATTTAAAACATGTTTAGTGTACATAGTATTTTTGGATTTTGTTTTTGTCCTAAAGATCTCTACCTTACAGAAAATCTTTGAGAGTAATATTGCATATACAGCTTTATTATTGGGATCTCATCTTTGCTTTGATTTTTTAACAACAAAAAATAAGATTTCCAAACTATGATATACATTTGGCTGTAATAATAACCATTATTTTCTATTTGTTTTGTTTTTTGTTTTTTTTCAGTGTTGTGTGCACACTATGGCTATCAATTTGACTTCTTGATTTTACTGAGCAGCATGGAGAGATCTGGACTCCATCACTCTATTCTGACGCAACACAATGTTCATTTCGCAGATAGCTTGTTGTTCTGTAGAGAGGTTGGTAATTTTTATTTTTAACACCATTACAAACAAGCTCCAATGTAATTCAGGGATGTGCCCTAGAAGTGCCTGGGTGCCACAGGCAACTAACTTTTGCCTTTGGGTATCTGGAGAATCGTACTTTTTTCATATAAGCTTACGTGCTGGGCATCTAGGATTACGTGGATAGGAACCTTTTGGGCTCCTCATAATTTTCCTTTGACCACAGCCTTGCAATTAGTTTTATCATTAAATTCATTGAAAACTTCTCAATACTTATAATTTGGTATTGGAAAAACAGTAATGGTGAATTGTATGTAAGGCTTGGTAGAGAGATGTTAGTCAACGACTGATTAGCTTAGTCAACAATTCAGTAGCTTGTGTTAATGACAAGCAGCATTGGCACAAATTTGTGTTGTTAACATTATTAATAACATAATTTTCATTCAACTTTCTTTTAGTTGAAAGACAATGGGGAAAAGCTGTTGGACAATACAAGACTTTCACTTGACGCACTATTTAAGAAATTCTTTCCAAAGAAAATTTTGGCAGGTAAATACTTGAAGTGCTATTAAAAATGGGAGAAACCAGACTGAACTATGTACTTTGCCACCAGCCAATATAATATGAAGTAAGAATATTTAGTTTCAACCTTGTCTCTTTTAGACAGGCACAGAGCCATGGGTGATGTGGATGGAATGGTAAAGATCTTTACTCAGACACCACTAAGAAAACTGCTACATCGTATGAAGTATTCATCTACCAAAGAAAGGTTTGCTTCCTTGAATTGCTTCCAAAATTTATATCTACATTGGATGAAGATTTTAAGGGAAGTGCAAGATGTTTTCCTTATAAATAACTTGGGGCTGAGTCTCTTTGAGGGTGTAAAGGTCAATTGCTGTCCTCCATAACTAACCTACCCACCCATAGAATTTTGTTTTTGTATGTTTACTCATAAGTTAAGAATTGTTTTTATTGGAAAAAAAAAACTACTTTCCTTTCCCTTTTCCTCTCCCTTTCCTCTCCTCTTTTTTTTTAAACTGGATCCATTTAAGGAACCTTCCACCAGTGTTAGTGAGTGTGTTGCATGCTTTAGTTTGGCATGGCTCGGAGTTGTGTGTAAGAAGTTCATTTTAACTCTGTTTTCTTATTGTTGTAGATTGGAGTACTACATTTCTCAGAATGGATCTAAACAGCAACAAGCTATTTTGGAAGGTGTGTGCTCTGCATTTTCTAAGAATTTTGTTTACCAAGTAATTACTCCCAAGTAAGATCAAGTGCTACTATTGATCCCAGACGTTGAAGTAGCATCTTTTTTCAGGCCGTTTCTCACACCATTGGTTTCAGTCAAAGATTCAAAAAAAGTGATCGCTTGATGACACACATCTCCTGGCTACAGTTTGCAGCACAGCTGTTGCAAATTCCTCAAAAGCAGCAAGTTCAAGGCAAATCGGGTCCATGGGATGGAATTTGCATCCTTCAAACTCTTCTCTGTAACATATCTTGAATTGTATCTGGCTAGAAAGGAAAGGGGGAGACCTAAGACCACTTGGAGAAAGACTGCAGAGAAAGAAAGGAACAAGGCTGGGTGGAAGAGCTGGAGCGCAACCAAGGCAGCTGCGCAAAACAGACAGTGTTGGGCTCAGAGCATGACAGCCTTATGCACCTACTGGCACGATGAGAAGATATGATGATTTGGCTGGAAAGTGCAAAATTCAACAAACTTGCAAACAAACTGTGACAACAGCAGGAAAGACTCAATCACACAATTGTGAAATTCCCCATCACATGATCACTTTTTTCGAATCTCTAAATGAAACTAACGGTGTGTACAATGGACTGAAAATAAAGCCATTTCAACAGAGGTCTGGGATCAGTAGTATCAAGGTTTTCCAACAGACCTCCATGTAGTGTAGGGTAGTTAAGCCTGAACGAAATTTAGCATTTTACAAGTGAATTGAGACTACCACAATTTCATTCAAAAGATTTTCAAATTCCTGTCATGTAAGAGTAAATTAATTTTCTGTTCCATTTGTAGAGAAATTTCACAAATTGGATGCTTGCAGTAAGAATATGTCCATCAAGAAACTGCTGAAGGAAGGTGTGACTTATAACACTCTAAGGAAGATCTTTGAAGAGTGCTGCTCATTCTTAGATTTCTATGAAACTATGAAAACCTATGGCATTGAAAGGAAAGTGTCAAAGGTCATGGCATTGCATTTCAGTGGACAAGGTTTTGAAAATCAAGGTGCTAGAGAGCTGTCAAGACTTTATGAAGAAAAGCCAACAACACGAGTGTCATCGGAAAATCAAGAGAATGGCAAGGTTTTGCAGCCTGATAATCCTGCACACAAACCGCAACCAAGGATGTCTGCCGCAAATAACCTACCAGTTGCTAAGTCATCTAACCAGGCTGAGGCTGGCGAGGATTGGGAGAATGAGGTAGCAACAGCTGCACCTCGGACAGACTTCACCCTGAAGTGCACAACTCCCACACCCCTCAGCATGGATGTTGAAGACATTTCGTCTACACAGTGGCTTAAGACAACGCGCAGCGAGAGTCCAAAAGGGAAACCCCAAGCTGCAATTGCCCATTCCCATTCTCAGAAGCATGACGGTAGAAATGGTGAAGTCACCAGTAAGAGACTTCAGGGAAAAGCCAGGAAAGCTGTCGTCAGAGACCGATCTTCAAATTCAACGTCGAGTGCACCAAAGCAGTTTAGCGAAAAGAGTGGCAAACTTAAGAGACCATTCAAAGAAAGTAAACAAGAGGGAAGGATGAAAAAGGAGCCCATATCTTCAAAAAGAGGGAGCAAAAATGAATCTAGTAAGAAGAAAACACCTAAATCAAAAGACACCTCTGAGGGACATTCAGATGAGAAGACTACTGAAACATCAGTTGGCAGTGTCTCTTCAGAAGGAATTAAACCAAAGCTTGAACCAGGAGAATCACCTGGTGAAGAAAATAGTTTGCCAAGTGAATGCCCACATGAGAAGTCGCAGCCTCCAGTCGCTCCTGAGCTGCTTGGTGATTCATCAGTAGCAAACGTTGTCCGTCAGTTCACCAGTGTTTTCATAGGAGACATTGCAATTCTTGTTCCTGTTGAAAACTGTGTAGATGCTGATTCTAATGCGGCTGCAATAAACGAATGTGAGTCATACCGTCACGATCAGCTGGAAGATGCAGCTATCACCAAGTGTGGCAAAGTGGTTGACAATTCACGTTTGCGGCAATCGGCAAAGGAATCTTTTGAAAAACGCGATCAAAATGAGACTAAACCCGCAGCTACCAAGCCGGACAGTATGGTTGAGAATCAACAACCAAATCAAGAGTCTTCCACAGTCAATGTCGTCATCCCTGTCGTATCTGTTAGTGCCCAATCTGAATGTGGCACTTCTAATGGACCTCTTGAAATGCATTCTCAAGACCAGGCAAAGGCCTCAGTTACCGAGTTTAAGAAAGTAATGGATACTGCACCAATAAATCTTGAGTCATCTGAAGAGAATGCCATGAAGTCTAGCAAGCTGGCATCTGATTCTCAGTCTGAGCCAGGCTCACCGCCGCATAGAGTGCCTGAAACATGCAGTCCAAACCAGTATGAAGTAGAGATTGTCGCCTCGCCATTGAACCTAGATCAGTCGCCAGGGAGTGCCATGATACCTGATTCGCTAGTATCCAGTGACAGAGCAGAGGAAACGAGTGATAGCAATGATGTGAACAAAAATGTGACTACGAGCAACCACTTGACGGAAGATATCTTAGATGGAACTGAGCACCAAGATACAACACTTCTTAGTAATGGCCAGGATCCAGCTTGCCCTGTGAAGTCGTACCAGGGTGAGACAGTGATTGGAGTGGGTATTCCATGGGAAGAGCTGCAACAGATTCACTGTACATCTTTGCCAGACGAGATGTCCCTGACGTCTTCAGATCCAGTAGCTCAACCGATGTACGGAAGCTTTGTCATGAATCACGGAATGGCAAGCCATTTTATCACCACCGAGGATGCCAACCAGGCAAGTCGTGATTTACGGGCAGAACTGTCATCTGAGAGCAGCAGTACCAGTGGGGAACAACCTGTTGATTTGTTTTCGCGACAGCCACCTCTTGGTGCTGAGCGAGGGTATACTCCTGATGCAGTGCAACACCAGCTGTCTTGGTTGGGAAACACAAATGATGGAATATGTCAGATGTCACCGGGTCCTGGCTTTAGTAACTACAACCAGACATCATTTCCAACTTTGGCAAATCCTTATGGTACATTCCACCAAGCACAACAGGCACTGCCTCTATTAAAGCCATGTTACCCAACATTTGCTTATCACAATCATGCCCGGCCTATGATTCCACCTTACATGACGCAGCCTCAACAAGTTTTTATGCCGCCATTCCAGTACAGAAATCAAGTGATGTTCTCCAACATGACACCTGCAGGTGTTGGTTTTCCACCTCTGCCTCCACCACAGCTGCAGCCTCAGATGTACCCCTTTCTGCCAGTTAATGGTGGGTATTCCTGTCCCCCCATGTCATTTTGTGGCAATCCTTACGAACGATCACCACAGTCCTTGGTAGGTGCAACAGTGGACGTTAACAATGCAGGTCTTACGTACCCAGCACATGCATTGTCCCAAGTGGGTCCCACTATTGACGACTGCCAAAACCTCACAGTGGTTTCAAACGGATCACAACTCAGTGACGAGAGAGATGAATCTAGCTCAGAGTTATCATCGAGTGAGAGTTCACTTGAACTAATGATGGGTTCAGCAACAAGTCAAATGTGTGGCAGTTCGACTCTTGTTCAAGAATCGTTACCCGTTCAGACGGAGAACGATTCAGGGTTTTCAACGTCATTAACATATGAAGACAAACAGAATGGAGTGATTGAAGACCAGAATGGGAAAGTGTCTTGGTCTGAAAACGTATCCGAGTACAAGAACGACGGCCAAGTCTTCAACTTAGCACATCTATGTTACAAGGAAGTACCAAGTGATGAAGTTTATGTGAGCAAGTTGAAAGACAATTCTTTTCTGAATAACTCTAAGGAATTTTTCAGCCACCAACTTCCTGAAGGTCAGGAGGACCTTGTTCATAAACAGATCACAATCCTGTCTCGGGAAGAGAGTGACATGGCTATGGGAAGGCGGCTCTCACCTGACGGAAGCAGCATGGATGGCGTTTGTTTTGATTTACCAAGTGATGTCAGTTCTGCGCAGAATCTTGAAAAAATGTCCGAAGTCAAAAGTTCATCCGCACTTCATCGATCGGAGGAACACTGTAGCTACAGGCCAAGTGATGTGAAAGAAAAGGGGAAAGAAAGAAGAAAAGACAGAAACTTTTCACCTAGGCCTCAGCGAGCGAGAGGAAACCGAAGTAGAAGGAACAAGGGTACACAGGAGTCGTCTGTATCAGTTTCATCACAGAAAGACCATCAACCAGTGACTGGGCCTCCAAATGAAAGCGTTATTTCAAATACCCGTCCTGATGCACAATCTATCTCTTCTAAAAACAACTATGACTCTTTGGGCTCAAATCGTGCCAGCAATTCTTGTGAACAATCACAGCCAAAGAATCATAGAAGAGTAAGATTTTCAAAGGAGGACGTGGAACGTCAGTCGGCAGAGACTATTAAACCCTGCAGCAATCCTCGCCGAGCAAATGCTACGATTCCAGGGCAGGAGAAAGAAAAAATGGGCATCACTTCGGTCGAAGAAATATCTAGGTTAAGCTATAGTGGAGATCAGAATATGAATGACTTGGAAGGAAGTCAAACACGCTCTGTTAATAGGAGTTCTACAATAACAACGAAAGTAGAGGAGGAGAAGGTACAATATGAGGATAGTGGGTACAAGGACAGGCCGCAGAAACACGCGGAGAAAAGAATGAACAGTGAAAAGAGGCCCGCCAACCTCAAGACTGGGAATTTCAGAAAACGAGCTTTCAACGACAAAGGGAAGGGATCATATAAAGAAAAACAACCTGTAAAAGTAATTTCACAAGTGAAGAAACCTGAAACAGACACAAGAACAGACAAGAATAACAATTCAAAGTAGATACATAGATTTACGAGGTTGTTTTTTTGTGGGTGTAGAGAGTGGAAACTTCCCTAGTACGTCCTAGCAGAACGTAAATTACTTGTGTTTTGACAAGTCTATAGTATAAATCAGGAAAAGTTTAATACCACAGCACACCGTGGCAACGTCGTAATAGAGCATAGACTACTCATTGTGTTTTGGAACGTGCATAGATCAATCAGGAAAAGTTGAATACCAAAGTACACCGTACCAGACTGTTTTTCCTGTCGTTGCAACTTTATTTGACAAGCGCAGGTGTAGTTCAAGTATTATTTATTATTGCAATGTGGTGTAAAGAATGTAGGATTTGCTCATGTGATCCTGAAATCACCGAGCAAACTGCAAGAACAGTTTAGTTGGTTCTTGTTGAAGTGGAAGTAATTTTATCAAAATAAACGTTTCAGAGTTCTGAGGTTGCTATAACTAGTCCAGAACATTTGATGAGTCATCGAGTGCAATGCAACGATTTCTTAAAAACCATGTGAAATCTTTTGAAATTTGCCAAGTTTAAATTAAGACAATATGTAGGAACATATTTTTAATCAATACAAAGAGATACATTTTTGTAACCGAGGTCATAATTTAAGAACATATTGTCGTGTTCGTTATTTTGCAGTTGTATTGTCGTTGTTGTTATCGCATTGTTACGTTACGGAGACTGCGTTCTCTTTTGATATCCTTCTCTAAATATATTTTAATAAAGTTCGTGTTTGTTAGAGAAAAAGTAGCAGAGCTGGTTAAGAGTGTGATGGCAGTGTTTTCGCCAGAGCGCGCCATTGCGGGAATCCCGCGTTTAAATCAGAGATGGCCCCCAGAAAGACGAAAAAAGGGCCAATTTGGCCCTTTCCTTTCACGAGACTGCAGGCTTAACACGGGCATAATATTTTAAAAGCCACCCCGGGGCTCGAAATTGTGATCGTACGGTCGCCAATGCAACAAGCATTTCATCCTTGGCGACCAAAAATTCTGGTTTAGTCGCCGTAATACGGCATAATGGCGACTACATCTTTCTGTGTTGACGATCAGTAACGGTTATTTTGTCACACATTATGTCCTTCTAGAAAATCACATTGAAAGATGTTTGCTTCTAAAATATTCAACATAAGAAAAGAAGTCAATG